AATATAAAATATAAGCACAATGAGGGAAGAGACCTTACTTGCTTTGTTTATTACTTATCCTGGGTACCGAATAACAGTGTCTGCTATATTAGTAGAAGCTCCATAAATATTTTTAGAATGAACAAATCAAATAAATTAGATTTTGTTAGTCTTTTTATTATTTATTGGGGGTATACACATTTTGAAAATACCACCCCCTTATACTCCTGAAAATAACTGTGTTTTTTTTCTGGGTAAAGTTTCACCTCATTATTTTAAAAAGTTATTTAAGCGAGAATTACCATAGTCTACATATCTGCCATAATCTCTCAAGGCTTAGTCTTGTATCCTAAATTGAACTTCTCTTAAATGGGTAAAATTTATCTTCCTCAACATGTGCAACTGAACAAAAGTAACTAAAATCAGTGTTTTTACTGAATATTCCTTTTGTTTTGTTTTGTTTTGTTTTGTTTTTTCACTGAGGAAAGAAGGGCCTTTGAGTGACAGACACCTCAAGTTTAAGGTTTTGGAACTTCCACAACCATGTTTATTCCCAGGTGGAGAAAGCTTGTTGGCAATGAAGTGATTAATGTCACCGTATAGAGAAGTAGAGATGAGAAATCATACCCTTCTTTAGTGTGTCTAAATCTCTATTTCCAGTTGTCCATAAAGCCCATTTTCTACTTCCCTTATATTTGGAAAGTGCCATCATTAACATGAAATAAGTTGATATAATTGCCATTCTTTTTCTTTATTTTGCTTATGTTAATTCCAGTTGGGTTTACATCCCTTGAAATTAAAGTATGTAGACTACACATGTTAGAATAGGATATTCTAATCTGCAGTAACAAGCAAGTCACACTATTTCAATGGCTTGACCCAGGGCCTGAAGTCTCTTGAGGGCAGTTTCCTTTCAAATAGTGATTTAGGCTTTCAGGCATTTACAATGGTACCATCTCAATGCATTGATCCCACTATTACTCTAACAGCTAAGGCAACAGCATAGAGAACTGAACAAAGCTCTTAAGTGACTAAATTAAAAGTGGCATATCTCACTTCTACTTAAGTTCATCAAATTTGTCATATAGCCACTAACCTCTTATAGTTATAAGAGAAACTTGGAAAAATAGATAAGAAAACAGAAAATTTAGTAAGTCCTTCTCTCTTTGCCCCACCAACAATTATGTGAACTTTACTCTTGATGGAAATATTGTCTGCTCTCCAAAGACTACCTAATACATCTAAGCTTCAGCAGTACATGAGGAATCTAACTTCATGTTGACCATGCTTTTCTTCTCCATATAGCATTAGATGGTTGTCAATAGGGTTTATAGAGTTTAATTATATGAGCCAGGCACTACCTATCTAAAAAGAAGGAAAGGGACACTGTCTTATTTATGTTTGTATACCTATCATCTAGTGAGAGATTTAAAATTCAGTAAATGTTTATGCTAAGTAAATAGCTGCATTGAAATGTTTATAATTTAAGGAAATAATTTTTCCTTTAAAAATTTCAACACATTTTAAACTTAATTTTTTTAAAAAAATAGTAATTTTTATCTTACACTATACCATATGTTTATGTATATACATGCAGAAATACATGTTTCTTAAATATCAGTGATTTTGAGAAAGCAGTGAGGGTAAGCATTGTAGGACTTCTTCAGAAAGCATGTCCATTCTGTCAGAGAGGGAGGAAGGTGTGGCATGATAACACATAGTGCTGGCTTGATTGGCGTTCCTTAGTGAGCCAATGTTACTGAGAGGACTTTATATTAGGTATATAGTGGCAAACAAATGATAAATAACCATTTCATTATGTTATACATAATTTTATTTCTATAAGAAAATACCAGGAAAATCACTTATGATTAGAATATGTAAATTTAGTAAATTTTTAAACATGTCATCACAGTAAACATACTACTCTTAAAACATAAAATTTTGAGTAAATAATACTACAATTTTCATGCAGTCATTAATTGAGTCTTTTGCCTTTACTGGATGATGGAAATTTGATTGTTTACTTTAAGAAGATATATTATCAAAGATACATTATCCCATCAAGGTAGAGAAGAAAAAAAACTATACTCCCATAAAGGTGTCATTCTCTGAGGATCTATTCTCCTTCTTAGGTCTCTATTGAATATGAATTATAAAATTGGTCATTGAAATGCTATATCATTTTTTCAATAAAATAGTTTATTTCTTATTTCTCCATAGAATTTATTTGCATTGGTGGAGCCTAATATCTGTCAAAAACATATATTTGCACATTTATATTGTTGAAATATTTAAAAAACTTTACTTGATAACTCTTCATACTGTGAAAGGATTCTTAATGTTATACATCTTTAAATTCCAACTCTCTCAAGTGAATTGAGATAGTTCCTTTTCATATCATCTTTATAATAGCATTTGACCACTTCAGTATTTATTAGGTAGACGTTTCTTTGCTATTGTTTATATGTGTGATTAAAAAATCTCATTATAACACATGATCTTATTACAACTATTATAATTTATTTACATATGTATTTTCATATGCAGAAAACACAAATAAATCCCAAGACTACTTTTTAAACCTAAAAATTTGTCAAATAATATCAATAGACAAAAATTATGCACTTAATCCAAGAAAAATGATGCTTATTGACTTTTTTAACTTTAATGTCAGAAAACATAGAAAGAAAATTAAAGGAAAAAATCTCATTTCTTTCACCTGTTGGTAAAAAGAAGTCCATCATTATTGATGAAGTTATTAATATAATCCCATGAGCTGAAGAAGTAATGACATTTTAAAGACTCCTGCTGCCAGCACTCTCAGACTTGGTGTTATTTTCTAATTTACATTAAAGTTACTCTAATAGAAATTAGAACTTAATACACAGCCTCTACAATTGTGCCATCTTGACCCCAGTGGGTTTATGCTTATTTTTTTTTTATATATTTTAATTCATCCTTGCCTACATGTGTCTTGATAACCTGCTATCACTGAAACTTGTCTCTCCAGAAATAAACTGAAGAGAATGGATATTCTAGACTTCAAAGAGAGCTTATAGGTGAGGGAAAGTGAAGCTTTTAATGACTCATGAATTCCCTTGACACTCTTCTGAATCACCATGAAATACTGTGAATATAATTCTGATCTGTAATACTTGCTTAAAGTAGTAGAGCACAGATTACATTGTTCAAATTCATCTCTTCAAAGACTTAAAATTCCAACTGAATGAAACTACAAAGAAGAGAAAAAACAGGTATTTTGTTCACAAAGTCATAAGGATCTGAGAGACTGATTTTTATCAGCATTTTATCCTAAGAAATTTCCTTGAGGGAGAAAGAAAGAGAATGTAGAGCTTCACAGCAGAGCTATAACATAGAATTTGAAGTGTATTTATGGTTATAATTTGCACAGATCACTTGGTGCTCTAACACCATGCTCTTGATCACAGCATAAATCACACTTTAATTTTAACCTTTGCAGTTCATCAATAGATTCAATATCAAAAATAATTCAAGGCTGACACTATTGGTTTACAGGTAAGTTTAACAAGAATGGGAGGCTTAGTGATGTATTAGTTGCCTTGTCAATTGAGGCATAAAGATTCATGACTCTTAACCTATGTTTCCATCACAAACTCAGTGCTATAAATAATGCAAGCAGCTAATCAGGCATAGAAAAGATATATAGCATCACTGAAAATCAGCTATTTGTACCATTCAAGTTTTTAAAAATTTATTCTATATAAAATCATCCAGTAACATAACTCATATATGATTTGTGCTGACTCAGAACAAACATTCACTGTTAATTTTTAAAGTTTTATTAGTTCCATGGCATAGCATTATTTTTTAAACAAGTTAAAAGTCTTTTCAGATAGAATAATTTACCTTAAAGTTATATTATGATTTATACATAGCATTAATTGTTAAGATTTAAAGTGAATCTCAAGGTAATACTTTATAACTTCTTTTTTTTAATACTTTTACATTAGTAAAGGAATTTCTAAAAAATAGCAACATGAAATAAAAGCTAATGCAAACTTAAGATATAAATTGAAAATTATGATAATGAGAGTTGGGAATTTTTACTCTGAATCTGTATTAGCTTCCTGAGGCTGCCATAACAAAGTATCACAAGCCAGATAGCTTAAACAACAGAAAATGTATTGCCTCTAAATTCTGGAGGCTAGAAGTCTGACATCAATGTATCAGCAGGGTTGGTTCCTTTTGATGGCTATACCAAAGTATCTGCTCCTTCCATCTCTCCTAGTTTCTGGTAACCTTAAGAATCTTTTGGCTAATATATGGGGTTCTTCTTGTACCTTCCCATTGTCTTCCCTGTGCACGTGTCTTTCTCTGTGCCCAAATTTCTGCTTTGTATTAGGACATCAGTTTATTGGATTAGGACTTACCCTGATGACCTCATCTTAACTTGATTACCTCTGTAAAGACTCTAAGTCCAAATAAGATCCCATTCTGATACACTAGGGGATAGGACTGTAATGTAACTTTTGTTAGTGGAGGGACAAGATTCAACCCATAACAGACCCTAACAGGACAAAACGTCTTGAAATAGTATGTTTAGTGAGAACACACAAGATATGATCATGAGTTTTATTCATCTGAGGAAAGCAAGCAGGACAATAATTGTGGAATTAAGTGGGTATTGTTCACATCAACAAAAGTATTGCTTTTCTCCATATTTTACTAATATTTTAACCTTTCAACAACAGTTTATTTATGCAAGAGTTTGTAATATCATGCCATTCAGTAACAATTTGTGGAAATTCATTACTATTTATTAAATATTTTATAATGTGTATCTTGATTTGATAATTAAAAGAAAAAACTAGGAAGGAAGGGAGAATGTAAGGAAGAAGAGAGGAGGAAACCATATGAACCAGCCATAATAAGCTAGTTTGTGCTGCAGAATCTACCAACTCCAAAGATAATGTGACTTAAAATTACAAAGATTTATATTTTGTTCTTACCATATCTTCACAGTGGGTCAGTTAGGGTCTGTTTCCACTTCACTCACTTAAAGATCTAGGTTAATGAAATTTTGTTTTAACTAATCAATCATGAATCATGAGATCCCTCATTTGCCATAGTAGGAGAAGAGTTCATAAAGAATTACACTCCAGCTTTTACACGTTTCATTACAAAGGTGACAAATTTCTTTGGTCAAATAAGTCATATATATGTGCTAAACTTCAGGGGAATGGGAAGTGCAATCTTTCCTATTCCCCCCAAAATAGAACACATATATTGGTCCAAGTACTAAGATTATCTACCATACCCTGTCAACCAAAATTCTACTTTGAAGGTTAAAAAGAATACACACACACATTCTCATAGAATGGAGATGACCTAAGTGCATTTTGCAACATTAGTTTTCATTGTCAAAATTATTTTTTTCGTTTATGTGGTAATATCCAATCTTAGCACTAAAAATTTATTTCTTTGTATTATCTCTAATAATTGTCTTTTAAAATACAAAACTGAATACTATCAATAGACTAAACTATTGGCAATTCAAATATATTTTTGAGAAAAATGATTATATATTATTTTGATAACCTGTGCCAAGCTCTGATTAAATTCCAGGCATGTTAATCTTCTTAATCCATAGCTGAAAATACTTAAATGTTGTGTTACTCTTAGCCAATCTTTTTCCTAAGACCAAAGTTTCTCTGAGACAGAAGGTCCTGAAGTAACTGCAATGCAACATTTGAGTCTCATAATTGAGTCATGTATTACTCTTCCAGCTTCCTCTTTCCATCCCCAAAATGGTGCCTGCCACACACACAATAAAATATGTACTTTAAAAACCATTGGTGTATATCCCCCCCCCTCAAAAAAAAAAAAAGAAGAAAAAAATTCAGCTTACCTTCTGGAACTTTTTACGGAGTATTCCCAAAATTATTATTTCTGAGTACTTCAAAATACTCCAACAGTTAAGATTTGGTTATTTGCTATCCTGAGGTCCTCAGAAAACCTATCCTCTTCTTAGTTTCATGTGTAATTGTACTTTTCTAGTCAGTCTCTTCCACTGAAACTTGAGCACCTTAAAAGCAATGAATATGTAGTATTATCATAAGAATAAACACTACATGAGACAGCATCTAAATAATGATATATAATAAACATTTTTTTCAATGAAGAAGTTTACTTACTTGTATATCTTACACATGGTACTTAAACTTTTCTTATATGAATTTATTTTATAACATAGTATAATGGACACCATAATATGCTATACATACTCTTTTATGTGTATGTACATATATTTGTGAATTAAGATAATGTATGTTTTATATTTTTCTTATTTATTATAAAAAATTTTCTAGATAGTTTGGTGATAAATTGATTTCCCACTACCACTTTACTAGGCCTCAGTTCTTGCCTTATTAATTTAGATTATATCAGACTCTTTCTGTCAGGTGTTTTCCTAATTTTTTTTTGCTTCCTTTCCCACAAAGAAATGAATTTGCCCTAAATTCAAGTCCAATAGATGACATACTATTGCCTACTAGCAAACCTACTTGATGTCAACTGACTGCTGGCCTGAACTTACAAATTTTCTGGCCTCTAATTTCCCCGTCTTCAGGTTCTCCCCTTTTTCTGGAAAACCCTCTTATAGTCCTTTGTTTTAAACTCCAACACCTATGCTCAGGTTCAATAAAATTATCTCTTCCCATATCCTTTTATCTACAACTGAACCAATTTCCTGGCAAACCACTCATTTGAATATCTTCCCCAAGCACATGTCTGAATCCATGGAAATAGTTACTGGGTTCATTTTCCAGGTTTTCCCAATTTTACCTGTCTACTATAATTTTACATGGGCAAGCTTGGTCATGTTCCAGGGAAAAGGCCATCAAAAGTCAACTTTAAACTTATATCTAAGACTCACTATTATCCCTTCTCTTCGAAAACATGGAAATGCATATGAGTAGTTTGCTGGTATTTATAGTGACTTTGAGGAAAAACCAAGGAACACATGGCTAATACAGATGTTTAGTATTTTATGCAGGAGATAACTGGAAAAGAGAAACAAGTAAGAACTAGTTTTCTGGAATACACTGTGGAGCCTTTCGTGATGCACTGCAGTGTGTTCTGACACATTGGTTTTCAGTTGAGAATCATTGTAGTAAATAAATGAATCATCCAAATAATGAGGATTCATTAATAAAAGATGACAACCTTTGATATACTATGTACATGAAGTTATAAAAGTATAGGAACCGACATATTTGAGCAACTAATGAAATAGTTCCTTTTTTTTTCCTTTTTTTAAAATTTATGTTTTATTTCAGCATATTAGGCAGGTACGAATGTTAAGGTTATACATATTGCCCTTGCCTGCCCTCCCCCCTCGGATCAGAGCTTCAAGCATGTCCATCCTCCAGACAGTGCGCATCACACTCTTTATGTATGTACACACCCCATCCCCTTCTCCCCCCTCCCATCTGCCCAATACCCAATAAATGTTATTCCTATATGTCCACATAGGTGTTGATCAGTGAAACCAATTTGCTGGTGAGTACATGTGGTGCTTATTTTTCCATTCTTGGGATACTTCACTTACTAGAATGGATTCCAGCTCTATCCAGAAAAATACAAGGCTGGAAAGTTTGAAAAGCAGGAAAGGACATTAACAAGAAGATGGCTGTAAGAGTAAGATACAGCCCCCACTGCCTCCATCCAGCAAGGAGAAATAAATAACTGTTAAATAAGCATTTCCAGGGCATACTTCGATTTCTTTTCCCTGAGAAAATAGAATAAAAAAATCATAAGTAAACATAGCACCATTTCAGGAAATGACTCCATAAGAAAAACGAAAGATAGAAACTCTTCCCATAGTTGGTTAATTCATTTTAATTCACTTTAGAAAGAGAAAGCATTTTATGTCACAAAGATAAATAATAGTTTTAAAAGAAAACGGTGGTTAACTTTGCTTTACCTCACCAACCTAAGTTTGCATTTAACCAATAAACCAAAATATCTGCTAGCGAATTATTTTCCTGTTTGATGGAGTTACACTGATTAAAAGGTAAAGGAAACAGGATAATCTTTAATGCCACAAGTATTTCTTTTCTGGAGAGCATAAGGCCTATGAAAAAAGAAGTTGAGTCAAGGGATTTGGAGCGGTAAGAGGCTAGGTAATATACTAAAATATTTTGAGAGCAGATCTTATGAATAGAAGAAAAAATAAATACAATAAGAAAAAGAAAAATAGTAAGATTAACATTTATTTAAAAATTAGGATAAATATAAATTCCATTCAGTTTAATTCTTAAAACATCACTGCAAAATATGCATTATTATCACCCCCAACATAGAAATGGGAAAACTGATAAGGACTGAAATTCAAGCCTACTGCTACTTCCAAGAGTACTAATCCTACATCCTAGTTTGGTCAGAAGAGTAATTGTCTAGCATGTTTATGTGAAGTTATACAATAGGTGTAAAATACTTGGGAAATAGCAGTTTAACAGCTGAAATGTAGAAGGAGAAATATGAATGATTTTGCCAAAATGGTTGTCCTGTTTTATAGTTTAAATCAGGGAATGGATCCTAGCTTCATGAGACCAAAATCTATAAAATTATGGGGACTTTTTAATAAAAATACAATATTGTGAAAACAAAATTAAATATAAAATAAATATTTTATATTATTACAGCATAAATTATAGTATTGCAGCTGATTTTCTGTAAGTCATTCCTATACCAGGAAAATATATAATAACTGATATATACAGAAAAAGGACTGAAAGCCATAAATATACCCCAGCAAACCTTGACTAATCTGTTTCCTCATTAGTCATCTCTAATTCATCTTAGCTAGGTAACTGAAAGGCATCCTCTAACATCACCTAATATGATGAAAAAATTGGTGAAGAAGTGAGAATGGAGAGATGGAACTTAATGTGTGGTGATTAAAATAAAACATACTGGTTTTTCAATTTAAAAATGTGAATATATTTCTAGAACTACTTCTAGAACATTAGAAAAGTTTGATTCAATTGAAGAAATTTGAAGCTTAAGTTTCATTTGTGTCATAGGAAATTTGCCACTGAAACACATCTGCAGCATTTATTTCAGTCTGATATTTCATTCTATATTTATTTTTAGGAAAAATAACTTTTGGAAGCAATGAATTTAAGAAAAGAAAACAGTAATTTTAATAATAAATTGTACACTAACTATATTTTTCTCAAAAAATTTAATAATAAAAGTGTAATTAGTAATACTGATATTAGTAGCCATATGAAAACCAAAAGACATAAATCTACTCAAAGAAAAATAACCACAAACTTCAACATTAATCCTAACTTAAAGAAGAATGTGCTAGAAGGTAATGATTTAACACATACAGTTGCAGGAATCACATTGACATATCACACTGTGGAGCATGACATTCCACTTAGACTAAAAGATACTGTGCTAAATACATTTTCCTAACTTTCTATTCCATGATTTTTGTGCTTTCACAAAAAGTGAAGCCATAGGTGTGAAGTATTGGCTCTATTAGAAGAAGAACTTTGCAAACACTCAAATGAGTCCAGTACTGTCTGCTTCAAATAAAATTTTAGCAAACCAAATATCATCCATTTTATAATTAACGCTGAGTGTGCCTATTTTACTCTTTCAAAACTATAATTCTGAAAGGCTAGGGATACAAACATGGTTTTCTAAACTCTGTCTCAATTTACTGACTCAGCATTTCTGCATCTGCTTTAGTGAAAGTGGATTTAAATAACTACAAGCTGATCCCATTTCATGATTGACCATCTCTCTTCTATGACTATATAAGAAACACTTTGGGCCCTTTACAAGACAGGCATGTTTATTCCACTCAGGGATCTCTATATCACAGACTTGTTTTAAAATGTTTCCCACAATATTCCATCAGCACTTTTCAAAATAACTTACAAATTAATTTTATTTTATATCATTTACATTTATATTTATTGACCTATTAGAATTTCACTGTCCAATATGGTAGCCATTAGCCACATGTGGCCTTAGAGCACTGAAATATGGGTAATTCAAATTGAGATATACTGTAATTATAAAACTCATGCCAGAATTCTAAGGCTAAGTATAAAAATAATATAAACTATCTCATTGGTAAATTTTACATTGATTACTACTAAAGTGATATTTTACATGTAATGTATAATTAAAATATTTCAACTATTTTATTTTACTTTTTTATTGTTACTAATTGGAAATTGTAAATTACCTGTGTGGCTTGCGCTATATTTCTATTAAACAGTGATACACTAGACTACGAAGTCCTACAAAATAGAAACTAATATTTCAGTCATGTCTGTATTTCTCATATTCATCACAGTAAACATTTAATGTAAACATTTAATATGTGTGAATGAATTGCATAAAATATTGTTTTATAATAAAAGATATAAAAAATTGATGCTGAGATGAAAAGCAAGTTCATTCCTATGATTTTGTTAAAACATGTGAATACTAAAAGTAAGTTAGAATATAGATTCTTAAAAATAGTTTTGAGAGTTATGAGAATAAAAATGAATTAAATAAGAGAACATATGCACAAAAGGAAAATAAAAGCTATGTGATATATACTTATATGCATTTTGAATAAAAATACAACCATATTCAAAATAAAAACAGATACTGAAAATTTTCAACACTTAATTAAACATTACCCACCATCTTCCAAACAACATACTATATTTATATTTTATTAATATAATACAAAGATAAGTAGCTACTTATTTTTCTTATCTAATTTATAATACAAGTCATCTGTATTCTAATTTATAGCTTCAATGAGGATTCTAAGTTTTATAGCCAAAGTGATATTTCTGAAGTCTGCATCCAATCACTTGAAACTGACTCCAAATCAAGAGAGAAGAAAATAAGACTCCCCATTGTCTTCCTTTGCATTCTCTTAGGTTTTAGTTCTGGCATTCCATTTGTGGGAATGGATCCCAGTGGCCTCAAGGTAAGGACTATCTGTGGGCAACACAATAAATTGAACCATATTGAGTAAAGTCAGCATGCCATTAGCTTGCTTATTGCCTGCAGAAATTGCAAGTTTTACTGGAAAGGAAATTTACATTTTAATTTGGAATCTCTTGGTCCCAAAGCATACACATAGTTCCTGTCAAAAACCTAGGCTCTGCAAAGAAATATTGCTAAAAGCTGCAGATCACAAGAGACAAGAATGTTTAAAAATTGTGATTCTGCTGATTATTATTTATTTATTCCTTGAGGGTGACCTGATAGAGTTAATTTAATGCATAAATGAAGCTTTTATTTTGCGTTTGTGTGGAGGAGGGTTGAAAGAGGAAAACAAAATAAAATTTCAGTTTGTATTATGTACTAGATACTATCCTATGTATTATTTCAGTTAATCTTCAGGACAATCCAATGATGAGTATATTGTTTTTTCTATTGTAGAGATAATAATACTGGGTGATCTTCATGCCTTAATTATCCTTCTATCTAATCTAAAACTCACACTACATTTCATATCCCAAATCTTTGAGCAATAGTTTTTGTCCTCAGGGTTAGATGAGTATTATCTCCAAAGATTGAAGGAATGCATTTAACAGCACAGACACTTTTTTCTACAGTCCTATGCTTGTTTTTATTCTATATCTCAGCCAGAAAATTGGAATGGCTTCCAGGGGGCTTTCTCAGGGAATGCTAGCCGATCCCTACATTTCTGCTGAATGACTTCTCCACAGAGGAGTTAAAGACAATGCCCCACATCCACAAATTCCTTGTAATATTATCATGCTTCATATATGGGGTTTATTCAGGTACCTACCTGGCTCCTGCTATTTAGTGATTTTGACCAAGAACAGTTTTAACTGATTTTATATCAATAGTTCTTTTTTCTTTTTACTAATATATTAACCAATCCCCAAAACAGACCAAGTTAACCAAATGCAACTAATTTCATTAAAACACAATCAAAACGTAAAGCACATAAAGATTATACATAAGTGTCTACAAAATCAAAGAAGATTGACTCACAGTAGGTGACATTGGAAAAATGGAACTCAACACTGGTTCTTTGCTGGTGATGTTATCAGCCAACACCATTGAACATTGCAGTTGGGAAATATTTATTTAAAACTGTCAACAGATGTTAGGATACCATTGTGGATGACCTGCAAGATTTATTGCAACATATTTGCACATATTTCTAACTTCAACCAAAATTATTAGTTTTTTTCTTTTTTCTTTTGTTGTTTGCTATTAATCTCATTCCATTACTATGGTCTTAAGCAAGTTACTCAACATCTATGAGTATTAGCTTTATTACCTTTAAAATGGGAATAATAATGACTCATAGGATCATTTGATAATTAATATAACTATGAGATAGACTCACAGGGCTTTGTCAGAAATTGTTAGTTCCATTTTTCCATAAATATCAGTTCTCATTCTTCCTTCATTCACAATTCACAATTGCTAACTCACATTGTTCCTTCGATTTATACTTCAGAGCACATGTATCTGCTCAGAAGTTTATGTCATCATCCCAACAAGAAGTATTTTACTATACATATATGTTAGCAAAGAGACAATTCTCCAATTATAAAGATCATAATTTCTTTATTTATATACAATATCAGTCAATATTTATTTTACCTAGCATAAAGTATCATAGCCTCATCTTCAATTATATTCAACTGAAATACTCAACCACTTTATATAGACAATTTTGGTTTCTACATGTATGAAAGTTTAAAATAAAATATTTGACAAAACTAGATTACAGATATTAATAGAGCCATAGTATGTAAAAATGTGGTTCTGATATCAGAAATAATATCTGGATCGAAATCCAGCATAAATCATTTAACAGTTATATGATATTGACAAATTGTTTTATATCTTTAAGCCTTAGCTTTTGAAACTATAAAATGGAGTTTTAATATTAACCACAATAATAATGACACCAACTATAACTTATTAACTGCTTTTCCTGTGCCAAACACTTATTTAATCCTCACACTAGTCTTAGTAGTACATATTATTGTCATCTCCATTTTATTAGAGATAACTAACACATAGAGAGGTAGATAATAAGGTCACAAAGCTCATTTTTGGTAGAGTAGAAAATAGAGCATGTGCATCCGACTCCAGAGCCAATCCAATTAACCTGCCTATTGCATTGGGTTGATGTGAGTATAAAATGAAATCATGCATATAAAATGCTTAGCATACTACCTGGTACATACTAAACACTCCAGGTATAATAACACCAATCAAGATTGTAATTATCATCATCAATATAATGATAGGATTGTGTAAAGAGTAAAGGGAATTAGAATGAGAACAATGCTACACATTTGCAACATGGGAACAGAACATAGAAAGGCAAAGATTAATGCAATTACATTTTACTATATTATTTACAAATCAGCTCTGAGTCTTTTGTCGAACTCTATTGGGTTGCAAACTAAAGACGGTGACCAAGTTTTATTGTATCCAATACCCACGTTTTATTATTTTTAAGCATAATCACCCCCTCCTACACCCACTTCTGAAAAATCAATATCATTTACCCTATTTCATAGCCACTTAAATCAAATTAGTTAGAACATGTTTAATTATATTTCCAAAGCCTGAGGCTAATTTAAGAAATTATAGTACTCCTTTGTTTTTTTAGTGTCAATAATATTATCTTCATATTAGAATGTTTCCTACCAAACTAACAGTAAAATATGCAATTTACCTGGAAAAAGAATTCTCAGAATGACATTTAAGTGGCCCTGCAGATGCAAGAAATCCCATACTTCATTAACACACTAAAGAGAATATATAATCAGCTTCTGAGTGAATAACCCTAATAATATTAAATAATTCCCTGGCTCATAATTCAGTAAAAATACAATGGAACTATAACTCACATTCTCAAATCCCAAATAGCCTCCTGCTGGTACATAAAAGTGTCATGTAAACCGGTGTCATTGTTCATAAACAGCAAAGCCAGAGGTTCCCCACTGTGTGAGTACTGTTAGGAGGCTCAGCATTCCCATATCATATCTCAAAATTAGTCATTTTTATTTTTTATTCTCTCAAGAAGCTTATTAATATACACTGTATGAAAATAATTCTTAGCTTATACATGACATTCTTCATTAATGTACTTACAGACTCAATGGTTGAACACTGTTATCAAACTGATTGAAATCTGGAGACCAGAACATCTCTAATGGCACATAGCCATTCTCAAAAGTATAATAACAAATTTTACACTACTTTAAACACTATGCATAGAATTTCTACACTGTCTTCCTTTACCTAAACTACCATCAAACTCTGGAAAGTCACTAAATATTGGGGGTTTGTTATAATGATCACTGTGTAATATCACATACACTTTCAGTTTGCAAGAAACAGAATCATTCCACTTATTTTTACATATGCATGTTATTAATATGGAGACATGTGGAAATAAGAATAGCAAAGAACTTGACCCTATGATTCAAGCTTAAAGACTCTGTAATATCTTTATAAAACAGCAGTAGTTTCAGCACATTAACAACAACTCAGTTGATTGACTTCTGAAGAACAGTGGTTTTCCCACAGAAGCTTGAAATCCTGGTGCAGACCTAGTATTTCACCATTAATACAACTAAACAACATAATAATATGATTAATTAAATTAGTCATCACCTACTTTGCTTGAGTAACTTTCTTTGCCTAGGCCACTTCTTAGGCTGCTGTCTAGTGTGTGTGTGTGTGTGTGTGTGTGTGTGTGTGTGTGTGTGTATGTAAACACACATATATATGGGGGGGGGTGTATTGGCTAGTTCTGGCTAAAATTAGCTGTGTCTTGGTGATAGAGTCATGTTCCAGAACTTAGTTACATGTGTGTAAACACAAATTAAACTATTTCCTCTTGAAGATGTGAAGACAACTCCCCTCAAAAGAAACGTGAAACCAGAGCACATATATAAAACAAAATAGATCCCTTAACTCTAATTTTTTTAAGTCTGTGATGTTCTAATATAAGGTAATTTTTCCATTCTAGTTCATTAATTTAACTATTTATACATAGTAATTCTAGCAAATAAAAATTATTAAATGTCTTTTGGTATAAAATTAATGACCTTATGGATTATCTTTCATTCATGAACAGCAAAGCTGTTAAAATATAATATTGCCTTGCAAAAATTATGAAAATACAAAAGCAATCTTCTCAGTGGCATGAAAATGTGCATTACTTCATTCAGATATATTTTTGTTCAACTATGAATCTTGCAATTTTCCATTTCTTCCTGCTTTCTCTTTCTCCTCTCAGCAAGCCAATAGACTACAATTGAAGAGTTATAGCACTGACTCTCAAGAGGTCTACTCACCTCTCTGTAGGTTATCATAAAAAAGTTAGTTGAAGAAACTTTAAATTGTTTCATTTATGGAAAAGAAACATTTTCTTTCTTATCTGCCACAATTTTTAAAGATCATATATAATAAATTTATTTATTGTCTTATTTACTTTGATATGATGCATAATAAAAGTTATTGAGTCATTATAGGAAGAAATTAAGATAGTTCCTACTATAACATCTAAAGTTTAATAAAGGACTATATCAATTAATTCTTTTCTAATTTGGGGAATATATTGCAGGCATAAAGTATGGGTCATGAAAAATCTGTTACATTTTGTAAAAATTTTTTTTTTGAACAAGTTTCACAGTATACAATAAAATGAATTGCATTTTTTCTCATCACTAAATATGATAAACTAAAAGTGATAATAAGTTTCTCTAAGTTAACCTTTTTCTCAGTAAAGGTATATAAATTATTTTAAGATAGTATTTCTCTCAAATGATTTCATTTCAGAGGCATTTTTTCTAGTTAAGAATTATCATCCCATATTGAATAATGTGGGTTACTGTTTTAACACCTTCCCTACACCTTCCAAATCTTATTATTTAGATGTTTCACACCTATAGTTTGCAGTGAAATAAGAAATGTAGAAATAGGGTAAGAAACAACAGTCCTCAATTTTCCTCATTAAATAAAGATTACTTTACATAAAGATTACAAACCCATACTTTTATTGCATTGTACATTAGAGGTTCATTATTCATCATGTGGTTAGTCTAATGGTTCTCAAATTCCAAAGGATGGGGAAAGAAGGTAAGAAATTGCTCTACAGAATGTATATGTATATGGCCTTATGCCCATAATGTATATTATAGTCATAATGGGAAGGCTGGGGGTCATATGTGTTTTGATCAGGCTTCCCAAGTGGTTTAAAAATACTGCCAAATAACTTTTTTCTTGAGACTCACTGGCTTTGATTATGAATTGTGTACAAAAACAGTCACATAAGAAAACTATTAACAAACTCTAGAAGATATTGATAATGGCTTGGTCAAAATCTAATCTCTTGATTTTGGAAAAGTAGCGTGCCTAGCTATTTCCTAGGCTCTGGGTGATCTGGAGTAGCCATGTGACTGGGTCTTGCAAATGCAATGTAAGAACGAGTGTTGTGAATGTGAGCTTCAAGAAAAAAATGTGTTTTCCTGATAAAAGGAACAGGTGCTGCCAATCTATATTTATGCTCCTGTTCCTTTCTTTCTGTCTGATTTCTGAAAGGAAGATTAGCAGCCTGGAGGTAAAACAGCCATCTTATGACGGCCACATGTTTAGCAGAGAAGAGAGAGAGATGGAACTGTCAAGCCAGCACTGAACTTTCCGGTTCCAGATTACTTTTTAAGTAAGGGAAATAAGACTCTTACTGAAGACCTTATCAGGTTTCTGTTACAGTCCCCTAAATACATTCCTAAGTAATATACCAGCAATAAAACATTTTTATGTCCTTGAAAGATTGGACTATAATTCCACTTTGTATCAAAATAAGGTAAGAAGAGATTTTCCCCCTTATATTCCTTACTGACCTATTTTTCAATATTCATTTTCCATGCCACCTGCCTCGATTTAGTTTTTTTCACTTAAGGATTCCTTAGATGTTTTTCTATATCTAATAACTTCTATAATATTATTATGGGCAAACTGAAATGGACAGTGGCATTTGGGACATGTCTATAGCCTATCATTAACATGGGAGAGCCCAATTAGCCTGGAAAACTCTAGATTTCTGAATACTTTTCCTTGATGGAGCCTGAAATATAATTTCTTATGCTTTTTAATGATCACTCAGAATCCTGGAAACACATGTATTTCAGGTCATTTTTGATCGGGGAGGGAGGAGGCTAGATAACAGCTCCCCAAACACACCTATGTCCTATTCTCTAGAGCTTGCGTCTATGTTAGCTTACATGCTAAAAGGGTTCTGTGGGTGCAACTAAGTTAAGGAGATAGAGAAGCTGAATTCTCCAGTAAAGTCCCAATGTGATTGCGAGGTCCTTACATGTCAGGGAGAGAGAAGAGGAGATTAGCGTGATACAGCCATAAGCAAGTAATGCCAGCTGCTTCTGGAAACTGGAAGATGCAAAGAATGGATTCTCCCATGGAGTCTCCAAGGCATTCAGCCCTGCCAATACCTTGATTTTTAGCTGTGTAAGTCTCATTTTGGATTTTGACCTCTGAATTTATTATCTCTGATAATAAATTTTTGTTGTTTAAGCCACTAAATTTGTGATAATTTGTTACAGCAACAATAGGAAACAAATACAATTTCGTACAATGCAGGAAGAATATTATATCCATTTATCGTTTGATTCAAAATGGTTCACACTTTTCTGTAGACATTATTTTATAGACAACTTCTAAGGGGTAACAACAAAATGAGTTTTGAACTATATATTTTTCATTTACTTTTCTGTATTTCCATTTAGTCATTTAAAAATGATTTTTTTTTCAAAAATAATTGTCTCCAAAATACAAGTCACAGAAATAAATATTATATTTGGAAGACATACTGAGGGAAATCTCCTTTGAGCCTTAATCTCATTTATCCTTTTTTACATATATCACCAGGTTTTTGTTTAAATTTATAAAAGCATCAGGACTAAAATGTCAACATTTTTGTTACGGGGGTAAGATTTTGTTTGAATATTGACTACTTGCTATTGGTTGCTTAAAATGAAGTGTAGATGCAGAACCACCAAGCCCATTTATTGGTGACTAATAAGAATGACCTTTACAAATGCAGAGTTCTCAGGACATATTGTGATTGAATAGTGTCTCCATATCCAGAGAAACTGAAGCCATTCTGTAGACAGATTACAGAAAAGATGTCCTTTTTTTTTTTTTTCTTTTTGAGTGGAGGAAAAGAAAATTATAAGATAACCCTTAGGCAGGAGAAATAAACTCCATTTCCCATTTCTTTCTGTTACCATGATCCAGTTATTGTTACTGTGAAACAAACCTATGCCTGGTTCTCTTCACTCAGTGCCTAAGAAATACTTGAAATACTCTTAACTGAACAGCCAAATTGATGTCTAGGCATTCACCCAAATTCACTCAAAAGTAGAATCTACCAATGCATGTTCACACATGATAAAACTACTCAGGAAATGTGAAAGAACACTTAGTAAAGAAATAACTGGAGTTATATAGGAAATATCAAACAAGAAAGGTAATTTGGGTAATATTTTAATGAAGATAAAGAGATAGAATATAGCAAGTATTGATCAGAAAGTAATTGATTATTTGCTCTTAACTAGAAGTAAAAAAATAAATTCATGCGTAAAGATAGAGAAACAAAAATATGAGTCTCAAATGTTTCAAGTTGATAACTTTGCTTGTCCACTATTTAAAAAATAAGAAATTCATTTCATATTTTCAAATTTGTTTATTACATAAATGTATTGCATAGCTGTGAGATCTGGGCTTTTAATGTACATATCACTGGAATAATGTACATTGTACCTAATAGGTAATTTTTCATCCCTCACCCACACACCCACCATTCCACCTTTGCATTCTCTAATGTCAATTATTCCACTCTATACAACCATGTGTACTCATAGTTTAGTCCTACTTATGTCATCTCCAATATTGGGAGAGCTGTGGATAATTGAGACAGTGTAGATTAATGGTAATGAATTAATACTTTGGGGCTAGATTGCCTGGGTTTGTATCCTAATTCTTCCCCTAACTAGCTGTGCATCCTTTGGGAATGACAGACTCTGTGTGCCTCAAGTAGCTCACCTATATAATACAGAGATCCTAATAGTAACTACCTCATAGGATTATTAAGCAGATGACCTAAGTTAATAATTGTAAAATGCTTAGAAATTTACTAACACATAATATATATTACATATATTATATATTATATACTATATATGTATACATACACATTTCTTAAAGAAATTTACAGAATTTTTTAACAAGTTTTCAGTGGAAAAAATTAGCTGACACTTTTACTCTTTAATATTGTCTTCCTACTGTTTTATTAAGACCTCTTCCAAATTACATTTCTGTTTAAAATGAGAAAATAAGATATAATACCTCTGTATAATTCATAATCGAAATTCTAAATATTAGTCATAATAAAATTGAATTATAAATTTAGCTAACCTTCAAAGCTTAACAAATTACAGATCTATGATCTGTGTTATTGAAATAACTATGGATAATATGTTATAATTAAATCAAAATCCAATTAAGATTCATAGGTCCTTTCACTTTTAATAATGCTGAAAAAATGCAAGTTTATGTCATAGCTTCTGAAGCATACTTCTGTTCTGAATAACCTGCAAATGTAGATTTTTTATTTAAAGAAACAAAGAACTAACAAGTGTATGGAGAAGCAGCAGTAACAATATCATCTGTGAATTTTGTGAACTTTGGTTAAAGTTTGTGCTCATTAACTAGAATGCGCTCTTCAACTTTGATATTAAAACTATGACAGGTGAGAAATCAAAACTGTTTCATTTATCCCACTGTTTGAGATGCTGAAATGAGAAGTGACATTTGGAATAAGATCAGTGTCATGACCCCTTTCAGGATACAATTTATGGGTCTGTGAATGAACATGTGAATAATATTAAGCAAGCTATCACTGTGTCTGGATAAATATGCCTTAGCCAGAAAATGAGGAAAAGTGGACAAAAACTAACACATCCTTATTCTTTATCTGGTTTATGTGTGCATCTTGAAGAACTGTTGAACATTCAAAAAGGTCAAATGAGGCAAAGTTAAAAAAAGAAATTAGCTTCAAAAATCTTGTCAAGAATATTATTATACAAGAATACATGTTTTGCAGGAAGGGCTTGAAAAGTCTAAATTAAATGAAGTTATAATTAATTAAAACAAAGTATAATTACTTTAGTAAGCAAATTACAGAACACCATGCAGAAATGATCACATCAGCTTAAAAAAAGACATATCTATGTTTGTATATAAACAAAATTGCATTTTAGAATAGGTAAAAAAATTAGTTGAAGATTGATAAAAGATAAAATTTGATAAAGACAAAATTTTGTTAATACTTGGGGAAGGAGGTACGGGCATAGGTTTATGTCATGTAGTTATAAACCACTTTCTGCCTCTTGGATTGGGCAGTGAAATCACATATTAACATGCTTTAAAATAACATAACTGTTACAGTACTATCTTTCATGTTTCAAATATTCTGTTTAATAGGTAAAACAGTAAATTTTCACCTTGGAAAGATGTACTAGGCACCATTTTCCCTATTCTTCCTGCCAAGTACCACTAAAAACCATGCACATTATACGTAAAACAGACATAAGACTCTGAAAGGTGGAAAGAAGAAACCTGGCCAGCTAGGGACCTTAGGACCCAAGAAACAAAGAAGAGTGAGTTCCCTGGGTTTTCATCTTGCCTTGTAAATCCCAGCCTTGATACTAGAGAAACCAGAAACTTGGAAACACAGTAATGGACCAAAAAAAGCCCCATGAAAAGCCTGGTATCTCTAAATCAAGAAAAAGACCTGTCAAGACACAATAACTACTGTATTTCAGCCAACACCATAGAAAAACAATGGCTCTGCTCTCTCCAGAAAAGCTGAGTGGAGAGCATAGACTTCCTTCCTCAGAACACTGTAAAATACTGAGAAGTCTGGTCCTACACACACAAACACATTGGTACATGTATGGCACCTGTGCTGTCAGAGAAAGCAAATTGGAGAATTTGAACTCTCATCCCTGCTAGTTACTAACAAGCCCTCTTTTACCTTCAGTGTCCATGGGGACCAGAGTTCCACTCCCCCTGGCAGTAATAGTAAAAAGGTACTCCTACCCATCCCAGCTGGGGCAGAGTCAGAAGAGACCTAGTAGAGAGGTAGTACTTTCAACATGTTCAGTAGTAATGGGGCTACCCCTCACCATGTCAAGGGATATAATGTGGGACCACAGTTTTATCAGTGGAAGCCAAGTTGATCACCTCACCTAGCAATAATGAGTTCAAGTAAGAAACTTGGACTTCTACCCCCATCCTTCAGAAATGAAACATCACCCCCTTTGCATGCCAGCATGATGTCATAGGAGGCCTGCTAAAATGGGATATTTAAATAAAATGCAGATTCTCAGAATCGAATGCTCATAATATTAAGAATCCATCCAAAACATCACTCATCATAACAAGAACCAGAAAAAAACTAAATCTGAATAAGAAAGATGATCTAAATGCCAATGCTATGTTGTAGATGCTATAATGAGCAATTATGCATATACTTGAAACAAGTGAAAAAATAGTAAATCTACACAAAGAAATAAAAGATATAAAGAAGAATCAAATG